CAAATTGAAGTGTTTAAAGTTTCTTTGTATATGTTTGTAAAGGAGGATAATTGTTTTGTATGTGCAAAATAGTATCAGCAAGTTACAAAAAAAACTGATATAGTGGCGTGTAACATTACTGGAATGTTTAATTAGTACTCCACACTGTTAGCGGGAGTACATACTCTCCTTGCAATGATATTGACGGGTAAGCGATTGAGGCGTCTGGTACTTTTCCTGGCGCGGTGCTTGGTATGTGAGTAGACTTTATGGTCAAATCCACAGAGAGGATTAGCTGTCGGGGGTGATTGCATTGGCGGTGACTTCTGTTTTGAAAGTGTTGAAATCAATTTGTACTGAGCTTGGATTCGTTTGTACGGGGAGGCCGCGATGTGATTTGTAACATGCTCTCGTGCACATGGCAGATTAGCCAACAGTGTGGATTGCACAGAGGATGAAAACTATTTTATTATTAATTTAAAGTGTTGAATTTGGTTTGTTCTGAGGTGTCGGTTTAATTGTAGGGAAAACATTGTTATAATGTCAAATCTAGGCGGAACGCGGAAAATCGGCCTACAATAAACAAAGTCATGCACCAGTGATTTTCAGCGACACCTACTATCAGTGCATCATTTCTGCATCATTGCATTAGTTCTTATAGTATATACACCAGCAGATATTTGATGATTTCAAAGAAATTTCAAAGAGTTCTTTCCTAGCATGGGTATGTTGTTTTCATTGTGTAGGATTTATTCCACACTGTTTTATTTATTTGTAGGCAAAAGTGGACTTAGGCATTAGTGGCTGGAACCCAGGTGGCCGGGTGCGCAGAAACTATTCCCGATTTTTTAAAAGTACTGATTTAACTCCGAAATTTTACATCCGCCATCTTTGTTTTTTTACTTTTGCCACTGTTACATTTGTTGGTATGAATATTGTCCAGACGGCACAAAATTGCTTAAAATGCAATCAAATGTTCAAAACATTTCTTGGGGCTCAGTCTAATATTGTTAGCAAAGTCAACAAACTACGACCATAAATGTAATGTACAACAGGCTCAAGAAAATTTAAAATTTTTTTTACAAAAACAAATGATAAGAAGTCGAATATGAATACTTATACCTGTACTTTTTAGAACAAGAAATTGACACATTGACGTATTCAGATTAAATTGATATGTTCTTTACTTATGTAAATGCAAATGATAAAAAAATAATTAACAGTGTGATACTATCGCTATTGTGCAAAGCATCCAGTCCCAATGAAAGTGAACAGCATGCCGATGTTATACAAAGCAATCATATAACATATCGCGACTGATAGTTCTAAACAATCAGGCAATCAACATAATGACGGTATCAGTGGGCACATCCTGATATTTGAAGATAAAAAATGACGACACATGTCATCAGTCTGGGAAGTAATACACAGCATCTTGACAATGAACAAACAGAAAAAGAAGAAGAATAGTTTATTAAAGTGTCACTATTTAAACAACCAACCATTTTGGCTTTTGAGACGGTTACAACTCTTCTGAAGAAAAACAACAACTTTATTTACAATTGCATTTCAAATTTATAATGCATATGTATGTATATCCATGTATATGCTCATGAGCAATGGAGGAGAATATGTGAAAATCAAATTCCAATTTATCCCGATAACCCTTAAGCAACGTGTCAGTATTATAGCTTGATGTATTAGAACAACACTATTTGGGAATGCCAGGTGCTACTGGTAGTGTTGGGTATGCTTACCCTTTTTGAAGATTCACTCTGTGTTATTCGACATCAAACGGATTACATCACACTCTGAGTAAACAATCTCATTTAACCCTTAATTAGTTAATTAATCTGCAGTATATTGTATCACTTAGTATTGCCTTAACGAGGAGTAATCCCTTGTCAGTTGTTGGTGACTGATCAATTTATGTCTGGAGAAAGGGATTAGCCTTACTCACAATAAATTAACATTTCACACTGCAACAGAAGAGATTATCGATCATTATGCCTTTATAAGAAAGTGAGAAAGATAAAGATTGAATGATACATAACGGGCCGTGCCTGCAGTATATAGCCTGCAAGAATCGTCACTGTAAACTAATAGAGGATTAATTTCAATTTTACAGAATATTCAACTGCTAAGTATATGATAAAGTGTTGAAGTAGCATTAGATGTGTTTGAGATTACAGTTTTCAATTAACTGTATAATGTAGCTTGCTGTCTTTGAGAGAGTCAGTATCTGTAGAGCTGGCTTGGTCTAACTGGTATTCAGTCCCTGGGACACAAATATTGTTTAATAGCATTGTTTTGTGAGCAGCCGGATGCGTAAATGATATGTAATATATTTCCGTATTATATTTTATAGTACTTGTTGTTTTAATATTGTTAACAACAGAGAGAACGAAGATTTCTTTTTGAAAAACCATAACAGCATGCATATGTTCTAGCAAAAGGAAACTTGATAAATATTCATTTTGCTTAATTTCTACTTTGGAAAACTAATTTGGAGCTCTGAAAGCTTGACGCTGTATAATTTGGGACGCGCATGGTTGGATGCAAACTAAATGTTTAATTCTCGCAAATTAAGACACCAGCGGCGGTATAGCAGCATATATCTAATGTCATTCAATACAGAATAATACATGAAGATGTTTCAATGTTAAGATTAAATATATCTAACGATATGGAAATTAAATCTTGATAACTGTTTTTTTTATCTTTGATCTTTTGGGAAAATAATAGTGGAACTGGTTGAGTGACTGACGTATTCTACATTAAAAAGTGACAGATACGTGATTTACATCATTAAAATTTAAAGTGATACAGTGATACAATTAAAAGTGAGGGTTGTGATTTATTTAGGAACGAAGTCAGTATTTGGGGATTTAACTTGCGCTTTCCGACATTATGCGTATTTCGCACACGATTAAGAAAATATTGTAATTCATTTATTTATATGAAGTACAAATGCATCAATCCTTAATCACCCGACTTGTTGAATGTTATTTCGTGAATACACAAATTGCATAACACATTCCCTGAGGACAAACCCAAACGGCCCGTCCCTTTGTGACAGGTGACAATTAGAGAATGTATTGCCACCACGGTAACCTCCCAAAACCCCTACATCCCATTTTCCCTACAGCTTAAGACAACAAAGTTCACAGTCCATGGCACTGCTAATCCCTAGTCTGTTACCTATTTCATACAATGGAACAACCCAAGAAACTCGAATAGATTGAGATAAATATTTAATTACGATTACGATATTATTCAAAATTCATAATACATTATAATAAAATGTTCATTTTTCAAAATTCATAATACATTGTAATAAAATGTTCATTTTTCAAAATTCATAATACATTATAACAAAATGTTCATTTTTCATCTCAACTGTAAATCGTCTCATCTCAGTTTCTCAGTGTAATAATTGTTTCTTCCTATTGTTATTTTTGTAATTTCTAAAAATTGTCTTCTCATCATACAGGCATCTTTCATTACAATTACATTAATATTTTTTTTTAAACTTTCCTTTAAGTCCCCTAATCCCCTAAAGCTCTACCCCTTTCATTTCTACTACCTCTACTCCAGACCTTAATCTCTCCTTTAGGTGAGTTCATAATGCAAGACAGGTAAATGCCGCGTGTTGTTTTAACTAATTGTAGGGGAACTAGGTTGTAGGGGAAATGGGATGTAGGGGTTTTGGGAGATAACCGCCACCACATTATGTCCCGGCACTTTTATGACATGTAATAAACCTAGTCGGTCCCTGAATCTGTAACAACAACATTGGTCTTATAAAATCAAAGTGAGTGAGTATGGTTTACGGCGGTGGACACCAGAAAGGTATCTAAGACTTCTAAGGCAATTAATCATAGGGATTTCCTTTTTAACTCGTCAATATCAGAATCTGACTGAAATATTATTCCCAAAGTCATAAATATTAATTCCTTTCATTTTAAGATTAGGTTTTGCAATTGGGAAGACTTTAATTTAACGTGAAATAGAAAGCTTCTGTTTTCTCTGGATTCAATTTTACTTACTTTCATCCATTTGGTAATTTTCTCCAAATCAGCATTAATATTTTACGCAGTAGTATTTGGAATTGTCCCTTTGGGGAATTGTCTGGACCCCACCGCAAACACAGTAAACAGAAATTCCAATGTGAATAATATGTACTATAGTTTGTTGGCTCGACATGCAAGACTCCATAATTTTAGTTATAATGTAAAACTCATAGTAATATTAAATTATATTTAAAACAAATAATTAATGTATTTTACATGGGAGACGAAGCGACACACGTTGTATTTTATAATAATGCACAATTTTGAATGCTTTAAACCTGTTGGATTAAACAAATACTGGATTTGATGTAGTCATAAAGTGATACAATACGTGTCTAGTCTTCCAAATGTTCTATAGTGTCAGCGCTCATGATCGCCATATCTATGAATGAATAAAAATATCATCATTAATAAACTCACCTGAGCTCACTGTGTGTTCTGAAGACAAATCGCTGTTAGGCATTCTGCACGGCTTCGTAGTAGTATTATAGATTTTACGACCGCTTCAGCCGTTGGCTATTTCGCAGTCGGGGCCAGACGGGTTAAACAATAATAAACAATAGTGGGTAATACATAAGTAATCGGCTGGCCCCAAAAAATGTAAATTAGGGGGATTAAAGAAGAAAGAAATATGGTAAAGGGGTGTGAAGGGGAAAGAAGTTTAGCAGTAGTAGTGTAGAGCTGTAAGAAACCTAGTCTAAGGGAAGTAACTAGTGTAAAGACTTAGTATGATATATAATCAGTTAGGCTGTTATGCTATGTAATAATATGTATTATAAAATGAAAAATAACAGTGGGAAGGGTGGAAAAAACCTATCATAAAAAGTTTGGGCTTACTGGCTGGGGTAGGGAGTCAGGAGAGAGAGAGGGGGGGGGGGGGGGGGGGGGGGGGGTGAGTATAGGGGGTGTAAGTACGTCACGGGACTACGCGAGACCTAACGTTATTTATTACATCCGGTGACAAACAACGTCTCGCGGCAATGGCGACAGCAGTGTCACGTCGGACAGGGCCCGGCGAATCATATTTGGAACACGCAGGTGTAACTTAGAAAAACATGACACTGTCACAGTCATTAAAACACTCGAGATGGGGAACATGAATAGCAAGTGTTGGCTTGTCAAAGCAGTTGCAGTGTTGTCAAGACGTCCTATGGTCGATGTCAAACTGGCCGCTACCCATTCATAAATATTGAGGTAAGTTTTTTGCACACTTCTGATAAGTTTAATTGTCAGTGTTGATAAGGCAATACTGATCGGTTCATGGTTCATCATCACACGTACAATGGTGATGGCGTTGAAAAATGAGCATAAAACATTCGTTCTGAAGGTATTTGCAATATGCTCTCGGTTTGTGCACCATACAATGTTATGGCAAATTTCCATTACATCTATCCTGAGCCTTTTCCAATAATAAATGTTCAGCTCTGATAAGGAACGTCACAGAATTATATGTGTAGGTCCAGCATGTCCAGGGGAGATTACACAAACTATAGTCATATTTTAAGAAGACCTATCATGTGCATGTTGGCAATGCAAATTTTGTCAATACTTAATGTTGTGCAAGGAGACTTATGGGGGTGCCTGTGTTAATAAATAAGGATATGTGCCAACATCACGATGATAATGTTATGTGCACTGTAAAATCAGCTTTGATTCACACCAAAAAATATTAATCTAATTTGTAAATAATGATGATGAAATCCTTGCGTTGTTTGTTTTTAAGATCTCTGAAAAGTGACCTCACTTAAATGTATTCTGTATGATGTGAATAGACTTGATCATTACAACCCCATTTAGCATTTGTTTATCATATTCAGTTGAAGGAGTAGTATAGGTAATGGGGGTTCTGGACCACTTCCACTGGAGCCAGATTCATATACCTATACTGCTACTACAGGGGGGGATTTTTTATGTCAAAATGATTATGTGATTTAACGATAGTCATGAGATTAAGTTAAATTGGCTCTAGCTCACCAATACCTGGGGCCAATCATTGCTTTAGATGAGCCTAAATGGTAATAAAAATATTCTTGATTATTTTTATCGATAAAGCGATGTTCAACATTTTTATTAAGTTCTTTGTTAATTTTACTAGGAGACCAGACTATATAACTACACTCTTTTTGTAAATTGATAAGAAACAATTGATAACCGTATTTGGTTGGTTTGACATCACTGATATAATAAAAACCTTGTGGTAATTCTTTCCATTTAATAGCTTTCTCCATTATTATATATTTATGTAAGCAATTGTCTAAATGTGATCAAACGATAGTAAGCAATCTATTTTTAATCTCCAACCAGTTCTTTGGTTTTGGCACGGAATAATTGACGCGCTTGTTGCCTCCCCTCTTCTATGAACTTTTTTTTCTCGTCTTCGCTAATATCACTGGTCTTACGAGATTTTGATCGAATCTCCTGCTTCATTTTATTGTATTTGTTGAGTTCCGACAGCACTAAACGAAACTCATCCTCGGATATCTTACAATCGGCCATTGCTGTCGAAATATGATCCTCGATGCTGTTCAACTTTGCTTCGGCGAGTATCCGAATATTATCGTGTTTTAATGCTTTCTTTTGTAACCCACGAGAAATGAATTTTATCGCTATTCCTGCCAGTCCCGAGACTCCAGCGGCTATTTCCATGCCTAGCACGATAGGCGCGGCGATTATAGTTGATAGTAAACCGATACCCGCTACACCGAGTCCCATGCCAGATACTACAAGAGCGGTGTCAACTCCGTCCAGAGCATTCACGGCTCTGCGATACTTTTTATACAATCCAAGTCTCAACTCCCTATCCTTCCCTATTCGATGTTTTATGTCGCTTATTTGATGTAATCGAAATCCATCAACAGTTTCCATCTTTTCAAATGCTTCATTGAGCGCCGGATATAAACTCATAGTGTATATAACGATCATATAATAGTCTTTAATTGGTCTTGCTTAAATGTTTTGAGACTATACATCAACCTTATTAAATGTATATTATACGGCAATAATATCTTAGAAAGAGAAATACTACCACTTTTAATAATTTGGACCCCCTCGAGGGTTGCAACGGGCGATGCTCCGATATGAATAATACTGCAACGTTGACGCTCGTGATTCTTGAACCATTTAATCGATAGACCTGGTAATATTTCGAAGGCATCTACCGGTGCATCTCCGAACAAGACTTCAATAATAAGCGTAGAAAGATTAGGTATTGCACTTAGGTTAACTTTAATTTCTTCAAATTCAGTAACCAAATTTAAACTAATGTTTTTTAAGGCCGGACGACTATATATCATATGACCTGGATCATCTGGCAGGGGAGTGACCAACACACTTTTTCGTTTTGACGGGATATAAGCCGCGAGTACGATGCCACTATTTATTATCTTAGTTAAATTATGTCCCTTACCCATCATCACATAAGGTGGGGTAATGACGATATTCAGTAGCCACTCGATGTTTGCTTCGACCATAGTCCATTTATTATCGTCGTTGCGAGTAATATTGTACGAAGTGTTTTTAAGGAGTCTACTAACGTCGACATCGCTTAAATCTCCTAGATTACCCGTGAATGTGACTTCTTTCCGCTTGTATACATTATCGTGTAAGTGTAAAGCGTATAACTTACCATTGTCACCGGGTTTATCAAATCCTTCCGTGTCTCCGAGATCGGAAAGCGCAATTGTATTACATTGTCTTACTGTTCCAGGGCCTGATGCATCAACCATTATTTTTAATATGGAGTGTTACACTTAAGTATCCTATATGTACAGGTTGATGTTTTACATCTAATACAGAAATTTTGAGGTCTGAAATAATACCACGCTTTAATTTTTTATATTGTAATGACGAGAAAGATTCCGTTCTACCGCTATTATATTTTTCATTTTTAACTGGAACACTTCTGAGCAGAGTTGAAGGACTTTCTTGTTGAATATTATCTGTCGTACTGATTTGATCAAGATGGATGCACAACTCTTTATAGGGAACTAAATCGGGCAATGTATTTCCATGTTGTGTTTCGTTAGAACTTATAATTTTAAGCTCAAATCCAAGTGTAATTCCTAAGTATGGGATAAGAATTACACCATTTTCTCCAGTGTCGATTTTCAGCATCCCATTCGATTCATTTTGTGAGAGACTAATTCCATTAGGCTTAAAAATTTCATCATTGAGTGAGCATACGCTGTAATACCCATCAGGTATAGTAATGTATTTGTCAGGAGCATCTTCATCTAATATATGTATCCTATTATTAATTTTCGCAGCACTTATATTGGTCCACAGTGGGTAATACGTTACATCGCATAGAGCTACTTCGAGTTGTCCATCCGAGTTATCGATAGTACGAAGCAGTTGAATAGACTGACCATTTGTTATTCCCAGGAGTGTAACATACATATCAAATATACAATGATACTATATCATAACTTAAATATGGAATCAACCATTATATAATATGGAGTGTTACACTTAAGTATCCTATATGTACTGGTTGGTGTTTTACATCTAATACAGAAATTTTAAGGTCTGAAATAATACCCCGCTGCAATTTTTTATATTGTAATAACGAGAAAGATTCCGTTCTACCGCTATTATATTTTTCATTTTTCACTGGAACACTTCTGAGAAGAGTTGAAGGACTTTCTTGTTGAATATTATCCGTCGTGCTTATTTGATCAAGATGAATGAACAACTCTTTATAGGGAACTAAATAGGGTAATTCATAATTTCCAGCCACTAATTCGCCGCGTGATAATGTTACTCCCTTTCCCAATCCAATTGTGTATCCTAAGTTATCACTAATAATTATTTTTCTGTATCCATTGATGACTTTCACTTTCCCAGTCGCCTCATTTTGTGTGATACTAATTTTACCAGTATTAGCAAATTTATAATCATCCTTAAAATAATAATTGAGTGAGCTTATGCTGTAATACCCATCAGGTATAGTAATAATATTATTAATTCTATCTTGGTCATCTAATATATGTATCTCATTATTTCTTCTCGCAGCACTTATATTGGTCCACAGCTGGTAATACGTTACATCGCATAGTGCGACTTCGAGTTGTCCATCCGAGTTATCGATAGTATGAAGCAGTTCAATAGACTGACCATTTGTTATTCCAGGTAGTGTAACATACATATTAAATATACAATGATACTATATCATAACTTAAATATGAAATCGAGATACATTACTAATCAATCGATTATAGTAACTGCCTCTGGTGCTGAATTTTTCGTTAAATTCCCAGATATCTTTGAAAATTACAGGGTCACGGCAACTAGCGATAAAATGGTGCACGATTGGTTTCACAATCCGATGCAATTTTGGCAGAATCAGTTAAACTTTGCCATATGGTGTGCCACAACGGGATGTGGCGTATCTGTTAATGCCCCAGGATTTATGCTAAATAAGTCTGTTTTATTATTTCATGTGTATTATCAGATTAGACGTATACTTAAAGAAATTAGTGCTCCATTACCGCAGGATCGAGCGTGGAATTCCACAAAAAATAATTATGATAGGTCCGCGTATGAGCGTATTTGTAATGAATTTAATATTTCTACGAGTAAAGATTGGCGCATTAAAGGAGCAAACCATGGTCTAGGTGTTCCGTACAGCGGACAAAGAACTGTTAAAGAAGTCAGCGATGATTTAGTTAAAAAAACTCATCAACCATTCAATCCATTTAAATTCTTTTTGTAAGATTGCATAATCTTAATCATGGCTGGGAACTTTCGAGTAACGATTGGAGAGGTTCCCTTATGAGTTTTAAGGGTGGTTTGGCTTATATTGTTACAAAATTTATACAAATGAACGATACCGCAAACGCTTGGAATGAATTTCTTAATGATAAAACGGAAAATAATTTTACTAACCCAGGATTTGTAAGATTTAATGAATCGATAAGAACTTATGTATGGGCAATTCTCGGTGCACAATCGCAAACACGAACATCCATTATCGGTACTGGGACGGCGCTCGATGCACAAAAACAGTTTGTCGCAAACGTGGAGGACGCCATTAATTCACCAGTTGACATACCATCGTCTATAAAGCGTTTTCAAGATGCATTACAGTACGCTCAATCCAAAGTGGACTTCGTTTATGCGCCGGGACTATACATGTCCCCGAGTAATATGGAACTTAAGATCGGTCAAGTGATAGGCTATAATAATAAAATTGT